GATACTCTTACACCAGATATGTACGAAAATGATCTGTCCTGTTGGTGTAATTAGGAATGTCCATGCAGATACAGTTAAGCAACTGTAATTGGCTGTTCTGTAAAGTTATTTTGAGCAGAGTTGCAGAGACACATTCCTCTGTCCACCTAAGAAATCAGAAGACTCTTGTGTTGATTTATGTTTAATCATTTCAGTAGTTTCCCCACAGTGATCATTCTGCATTTTCTGGCTTTTGTTTTCTTGGCCGAAAGTGAACGGTGACTGTTAGGAATGTCAGGGACTAGTGACCCAGTCCTGTTTCTCTGTGTTTTAGTTATTAAAAAGAAATTCTATACCCAAAGTGACACAAAAGCGTAGTCTACATTTTTACTGTTTCAGAAGCGGCATGGAAAAGTGCAGTTGGCCTTTGGAGCTGGAAGTGTCTTGCTGGCGAGTCTCCATCCTGGAGAGTCTGGTGGGGAGTGGGCTGGTGCTGGGGCCCCGCCGGCCGCGTGCTGGATCCTTCCTGGCTTGCAGGAGAGCAGGCGTGGAGGACAGTCAGCTTGCGGGGCCACGCAGGGTGCAGAGTGCAGGAGGAAGGTTTTCACCCAGCTAAACAGACTGGGGGGACACCCCCAAGAATGCCATCCCCTGAGGCCAGCTGTGGGCAGGCCAAGGTGTGTGGTCCCTTCCTTCACCAATCATCAGTATTGTATTGGTTTGTTAATTTGTTGATGTCAGTTCGGTCATAGTATTTAATATGATTTGTGTTTTCTTATTTATTTAGCCACTATTTGATTCCCTTTTTTTTCCGAATGGTAATTTCTGCATGATACACTTCTGTACGTTGTCTTCTGACTGTTACAGACTTTCTACTACCTCTCCCGATCTGCTGTTTCCTTGTTTCTTAACAGGATTTTTTACAGTGTTGCGTCTAATGTAACTTAGACAATAAAGGGTTTGGTTGTCTACACTGCAGCTTCTCCGTGTCTCTCCCCTGCTTTCCGCTCGCTGCTTCCCCCTCTGCCCCTGCTGGGGCCTGGCTCCACCCTGGCCTGCCTTCCCACACTCTTCCTGTTTCCTGCTCACAGCTCTTCCTCATGTTTGCATTCAAATAACACACAGCTAATGAGCTTCTAAAAATCTTTCAGGTTGTTCACTTGTGTTCCTTAATTTGAAGAATGAATATTTAAATTCTCTCAAAAGTCAGCTGTTGAGGATCTTCTCTGGGAAATCAGCCCACTGTACCTGCCTACCTTTCTGCCTGGTCCCGGAAGGTCTTATTGTCATCTTAGACGGACAGATTCCGTTCTCAGCACCATACAGACTTGGCTTCAAAGCCCGGTGAATTTTGCCTTTGAGGCTGTGAAAAGTATTAAATGTTATAAGAGGTTCCCCAATATTTACTTATTTATTTTTTAAGCCAAGAATGACACTGGTTTCCTGAAAAGCAGGTGCTTCAGGAAGTAGCAGTTGGGAGTTGTATACAGTTACTTCGTCAGAGAAAGGAGCGCCCAGTATGACAGGCCACCGCCCCTGATCTGGCCACTGTGCACAGGTCGCTGAGGGCACGAGAACACCTCTGCAGGGGCTCCGGGACATGTGGGTTTCATCATTTCACACGCCTTCAGGGCACAGGGTTGAGCGTGGGAAGGGCGAGCTTCATCGCCATGGTGCCTCTCCAGGGCGGCCTCTCTGGTCGGCCTCTGTTCTTTGGACAGAGAGACAGGGTGTGGCTTACGGGGTCAGTAGTGATGGCTTCTGGATCAAAGAAGGTGGGTGCAGTGCTTAGTCCGCTGTGTGGAAGAGGGCACCTCCTGGGCTTTCGTGGCTGGAGACTGTCTGCCAACATGCCTTCCTTCAAACTAGACAAACCCTCCTCTGCCACCCCCAGCAAATTCTCAGAGGTTTCCAAGCTGTAGAAAAGGGAAGGAAGGAAGGAAGGACGGCATTCATATAGCTTTACTTTCCACTTCAAAACGTCTTAAGTAGCATATGTTGTTTTACTGCTTTTAACTTGGGTGAGTTCTAATTTCAGAACGTTTTGTTCACTGAGCAGAAAAAGATGAAACCACCACAGGCCAGGACTTCAAGTGAGGAGGACGCCTGTGTTTGCCGTGGTTGGTGGTTGGTGGGAGCACGCTCTGGGGCCCGGTAACATGCCTGTGGGAAGTGACCCAGGGGCCACCCGCCCAAGGGAAAATGTTCATTCTTCATCAGCTTTGCTAATTCTACTTTGAGGCAGTAAAATGCAAAAGGCCATAGAATTTGTATTTCCTTTTTTAAAATACAATTTATAACATTATATTTTGTACTCTTTATATTAGAATTTGTAACTAGATTGATGTATTTAACTCTATTTCTGAAAAAGTAATTCAATGTTTTAGTTGTGTGATAAAAATATTTAGATAAAACATATTCATTCTATTGGAATTTGAAATAAATAAAAACATCTTGGAGTTCTGAGATTTGTAAGACATTTTTCCCCAATTTCAGAGGGTGGCTTACATCGTTTGACAGCCCGCTTTGATCTGTGGTTATTTATTTTTGTTGGCTGAACATAAACCAAAGTGTTAATGCTCTTTATTTATAGAAGAATTTTAGGATGATTCACAAGATCGTTCATCTGAAAAGATGCCCAGATGGCCCGAGTTTTTTTTTTTTTTTTTCCAACTCTTTTGTGGACTCCGGGACATTCACTGTTTGTAATGGAAGATGCTGTGTTTTTCTCAGTTTTTTTCGCAGCACCCCTTATTTCCCCACTGAATACACTCACTTCTTACCGTTGCACTGTCACCCATACAGGATGTATAGGGATGGACGCAGAAGGAATTCTCACTCAGCCACACCAGGAGGAAATTACTGTGTCAAACGTGGGGACACAGAGGGGCTGGCACTGTGATTTGCAATGGTTTACTGATGAGACAGTGAAAATGAGACAGGACCGTCGGATGCAATAAAGATTCTAATTTAAAAAGGTAAAATGTGTTTTTAAATTAAAAGATATAACCGTGTCTCTACTGGCTGAAGAAAGAACGGACTAGGTAAGTTCCTGAACGTGGCTTCCCAGATGGGCTGGGCAGGAAATGGAACTTTGAACAGCAGTGGGCGTCCCTCCCCGCACCCGAGCCTCTGGCCCTCTGCACCACTCTGCGGTGAAAATGCTGCTTCGGAAGGCCTTTGATGATCCGAAAGGCCTTTGTGTCAAGTGCAGAGCTTGTCTAACTCAGTCGAGGGTTATGCCTCACTGTTCAGAACCTCCTTCCTCTTGGATGGCTGGTTCTTCTGAGAAGGGCGTGCATCCGAAACGAAGTGGCAACACCAAAGTCCTTAATAGGTAGC